CTGCCCAGACCCCGGCCCAGCTCCCGCCCGCCCCCGCCCCGAACCCAGTCCCCAACAACCCCCATCCACCTCCGGAGAGGGGGCTATGTACAAAAGAGGGGTCCACATGGCCCAAAGCAACCTGCCAACCGGAGCCGCCCCAGGAATAATAAAGTTTATTTTATAAATATCAAGCAGAGCTTTAAAGCATTAGCTGTGATGCTCCGCTTGTGAAAGTAAATCTGTTGGGCAATTTCTTGGCACTCAGACAACAATTCTGAGTGACATTCTGCTGGACAAGACACGGTAAAAAAATAAAATAATGGCAAAAACTACAAAAACTGATTCCAAATATCTGAAAGCCAAAAACATCAAATGAAGCCACAGTAACAAACCAAACCAGAGATGAATCTGGAGTGTGTTGAAGTTTTTGAAAACATTTTCAACAATTTCTGATAAAATTGCCTAACTTCTGAAACAAAACAAAAAAAACCCAATAATTATTACATTATTACAGCTATAATAGTGTTTGACTTTTATTTATTGTTGCATGTTGTCTTGAGTTTTGACTCATTTAAGCAGCTAAAGACATCATTACAGATCAGGGGGTTTTCCTCAAGATCAGAAAGACTCCTGACTGGGAGTTGAACCCAGGACTTTTGTGCTGCAAGGCAACAGTGCTACCACCTGCACCACCATGCAGCCACTTATCCATATGTTTAATTGCATGTCTTTTTCTCCTTAATCACATATTAAATTCCTTTGTGATTTCTATTTGTGAAAACTGCAAAATAAAGAAGTGTTTATTTACTCGTTATTATTGGCAGTGAGCTGTTTCATGCACTTTATTCAACTTTTCATTTCAGGATATTATAGGAATAAAACATTATGCTGACTAGATAAACTACTAATAGTTTTATGTGTCATAAATTAGAAACAAAAATGCCTACAAAGTTTATTATATAATTGTTATTTTACAGATGTGACAAGACAGACAGAGACATCGGATAAAGAGGAAACAAAAATCTAGTATGGGTAAGTAGTTATAAATATACACATTTATGTACTGTAAAAAAAATCAATCAGACAGACATGCATGAACGATATGGAGATAATGATTTTTTATTCACAATGGCTGGTGTTTACGTTTGATATGGACCCAGGCAGAAAAACGTTAGCATCTTAAATTAATATTAATGACTAAACCTTTCATTGTTTTGTGTCTGTTTTGATTACTCAGCAGACCAACCTCACCAGTCACCAAACCAATGGACTGAATCTGAAGTCAGTGACTGGCTGAGATCTATTGGAGTGAAGGAGCCATACATAGAAAAACTTTATGATGAAGAAGTAGATGGACAATGCCTTCTTGCACTAGATGAAGACTTCTTGGTGACTAAGGTTTCCATGAAATTAGGACCTGCTAATCTAATAATTAAAAAGAGAGATGAGCTTATTAACTTTCATTCAAAGCCTAAAGAAAATAAAACCTCTTCCAGTGGCAATAATACTGAGTCAGACCAGAAAAAGCAAACCTCAGGACGTAAAAAGGGTCTGGCAAAACAGAAAGCTAAGAGAGAGGAGAATGTCCTACAAGAAAAACAATCTGTCGTGCAACAATGCGAAGTGACAAGGGAAGACTGCAAAGCACGACCATTTGACAAAGACCCTGACTTTATATATGTTAAACACAAAGTCCTGCAGCCTGAATCAGGAGCTTTCAATCTGATCAATCCCTGCAGGGAATTTAAGTCTCTTGTAAATGCTTCTCAATTGGATGACACACGACTTCGAGTGAAATTTGCCAGAGAGGTTCTGAAATTTGCAACTGGATGCATGAATGTCAGAACAAATGGCACAATCTTCACTTCGGCGTGATGGACAGCAGAGAAGATGCAGGATATGTCCATGGTGAGATAATTGGTATTCCCATAAAAGACAAAGATGTTTTTGTAGATGCTTTGGACTACACTGAAAGAAGCTTCCCCTCCGACAAGGAACATGTTCGCCAGTGTGTGCGTCCGCCAAGGCTCATAGAGGTTATGGATCATACGAGTGCAGAGAAGAGGTATGTGGTAGAAGTTGATATCGTTCCTTCGGTAAGCATTGTTAGAGGCAAGGTCTACAAAGTCCGTCTGCCGAACTTCAAGGAGTCAACTAACAAAGTTGAATTTGAGAAAGAAACTATTCTGCGAAGGGTGGGTTCTAAGACAGAACCAGTGGCTGATACGGGTCAGTTGGGTTTTTTTCAGCGGGTACAAGATAGAGACATTCAGAGAGAAGAAGCAGAGAAATGCCTGTTTCCCAATGACCCTGAAATCTATCAAAACCTTGGAAGGAAACTCACTATGCTCGTGAGAAGTGGGAAGAAATCCATCGAGAAGGAAAAATGGTTCATAGTTGTGACAAACAAATTTAAATCTGATGACCTTTGTCACATTAACTGCCTACTTCAAATGAACATTTTCTGTGTGTTTGACTTTGATCCAGACTCCAACATAACGGGTCTTTGCAGTAAATACATTCAAAGCCATGCTGCAAATATGCATTCTCTACAGAGCTATCAGATTTCCAGGGATACAAGCATCAAAGAAGTCACAGGCAAGTTGCTCCTGTTTGAGCAGACAAGCTGGATTTTTTGTAATGGACGCTCTGATTTTAAGGGAAGTGAACCGCCATGCGATGAAAAAACTTGGACCAACACAAAACGTCCTCTTCTGCGTGAATCTGTATCTTTGATCTGTAAACACATTTTGCCAAAAGGTACGTTTCAGGTGATTTTTCTTCTCATTCACCGATTAAAAAACCCTTTCTTCACACCTTCTATGAGTTTTCAGCAGACATGCAAGGCCATGAAGACATCATTTGCATCTGTGACTCAGAGGAAAACTTTCAGAAGTGGAAAAGTTTTGCAGAGGCAACATTTGGTACAGAAACTGTTGACAACCATAGTGTTGTTGGCATGAAAATGAGCCACATTGAAGCAACACTGCAACAAATACAACCTGTAACAACACATACCACCAAACATTTATCCACCTTTGCAAAGGGAAAATGTCGTCTTGAGACATGAGAAAAGGAAGACATGTATTCATTGGAAATCCTGGCAATCGATCATTTTGATGAAACATGCAAAGAGTCAATTGAAGCAGAGAATGAAAACACTGAGCAGCAGTTCTACCACGGTGGGAAAGTGACCTGGTTGCATCTCTGGCTTGCTGAGCACAAATACGTTGGCGGGGTCATTGAAAGGGATGCATACAGCGAAGTTTTTGAACTTCTTAAAGATTTGAAGCTAAATACCATGCATGGTCCTGTGAAAAGAATCAACATCTACCATCATCCTGGGAGTGGAGGAAGCACTGTGGCAAGGCAAATACTGTGGAACAAACGAACAGACTTAAGGTGTGCAGTTGTCAAGCCTTCGTACTCTGCTGATGTTGTCGCACAGCACGCAGTCAAGCTGAGAGAACATGATGAAAATGATCCACAAAGGTGTCTTCCTGTGATGCTCCTTGTTGAAGACTCAGAACAGGAGTACCTTGATGACCTAAAGAATGAACTAGAAGAAGCCATTCACAGCCAGAAGATTCTTTATAAAAAGCCTTGCTTCATTTTGTTAAGCTGCAGACGATGCCATGATCCAGAAAAAAAAATTAAGGAGTCTCCGTTAGAAAATGTCTCTGTCACTCACAAACTTTCTCCGAACGAAAAAAGGATGTTTTCTCAAAGACGTCGGCTGTTAAAGAAAAAATATAAACCACAGTTCATCCTCACATTTGTTTTGATGAGTGAAGAATTCACAAAGGTAGCAACATATGTTGAAAACTTTGTGACCAATTTGCTCCATGGCATTGATCCTACATCGGCCATCTCTTGCTTCCTACTCTATGTTGCACTGTTGAACACCTACGTTCAAAACTCGTTCATCTCCCAACCTCATTACGAGGCTTTAGTAGGCTTAAGCACATACACAGACAAGCTTCGAAAAGCAGTGTTTGAAAGGTCTCTCAACGAGCAGACCAAACTCATCTTCTTGCATGTGAGAGATGAGAAGACGCACATTGAATCAATCAAAATCATTCACCCACGAGTCGCAGAGGAAATTCTCAAACAGCTGCTTGGTGACCAAAAAAGACAAGGTACCTTGGCAAAAGAGCTGCTTGCTGAGAAAGTTCTGTTTGAGCACAGATTTGGCAGGGATGATTACTTGGCGTTTCTAAAAGCACTTCTCAACAGACGATCAAAAGTTAGCCGAGGAGATGAAAATGACACCTTGTTTTCTCCTCTTATTGAGTACGTGCGTAAAAATGAAAGTCCAGAGTTGGCACTTGAGTTACTCAAGGAAGCTTATGAATGTTTTCATGAAGATGCATTTTTTGCACAAACAATTGCTCAACTGTATTATTCGTATGACAGGTTTGAAGAGGCAAAACTCTGGGCAGAGAGAGCTGCCACAACAATGCCCAATAACTCATACATACTCAACACAAAGGGGCAGGTTTACAGAAGATGGTTTGAAGCAAAACTGAAAGCCACTGATTCTAATAATATAGCAAAGACAGCCAAGAACATGGCGCCAGCGGTGGACCTCGCACTGACAGCTATGGAGTGTTTCAAACACTGCGAGAAAGTAGCAATAGCAGATCCAGAAACCATGAACAGATTAGGGTTTTTTGCTGAAATTGAGGTTGGACACAGTCTGTTAAAATTGATCTCCTCGATTCAAGAGTTTGCAAATAGAGATGACAGCTCTTTGGTGTGCATGAAATACCTAACCACCCAAGATTACCTTCCAGAGGAAATAAGAGATGCTTGGGAGCCATTTCATGGCCACCTGAAAAACCTTAAAAACACAATTAAAGAATCATTGGATTGGATTTCAGAAGACCTCAGTTACTTCCAGAAAGATGTTGTTGCACATGAGGAGGAGATCTTTGAAAGTCCAGAAGAAACGGTTAGAAACCCACTCAAGGTTTTGACCAATGTATCCTCAGCATATGGAAAATACCTAAGTGGAGTTTCAGACAAACTTTTAAAGTCCTCCAAGTCAGTTCTAGCAAATGCGAATCCCAGCACAAAACAGATGATTATCTATCAACTTGGTGGAGGTAACCTAACATCCATCTTCTACAAACTGAATAACCAGCAAGAAAAGAACACGAAGGACCTACAGACAATTCTCTCTCTTTACCCAAGCAATCCACAGACTGCAAGATTTACCCAAAATGACATAATTAATTACACTGCAGCCAACATTGCTTTGAAGTGTTTCTCACCACTTTCTCCAGGGATTGCTCCTTTACAAGATCTACAAGCTGTCATCCACCAGTTCCCTACAGACAAAAGAAACTGCTCTCCTTCTGCCCTGTTCTTACTTACTATGTTGTTTTGGCCAGAAGATCATGAGACAGAAGATGAGAAAAACAGAAAATATGAAATTGTGCTATCAGCAATTAAATACCTGAAAAAGAACTACTGGACAAAGATAAAGGACATTCCTCCACGGAAGAGAAGACTTTACACTCATTTCTTTCTGGGAAATGGGACTGGCTTGGATAAATTTGTGCACAAAAGCAAGACTGACAGATACACAAAGGGCCTAACAGTGGATGAGAAACGCATGAAGTGGCATACAGGTGAGGCATGGAAAATGCCTGAACTTGCTCAGATGCTGAAAAGTGTTTCTGGGTGGACTGAAGA